TGCACTTTTGCAGTTTCCGTTATTTTTTATTACCTAAAAATATGGAAAGACATTCTATATGCTTTGTTCAGACTCAGAACATCCCAACCTTTCAGAGAATTTAGGTATCCATAATAGAATGGATGGTCATATAATGATTATAAAGGGTATTTGGTGCTGGTCCTTAAGGTCTCTGAGTAGGGTGTGTAACATTGGTTGGGCTGAAAATGCCATATTTGCTGTTCTATGAGCCCTAATGCAAGCCTGGTTAAAAGCCCTAGAATGAAACGACAGGTTTTCCTCCTTTTATCGTATGATCATGAATATTTAGATGAGCTGTGCGCTGATTGGTTGGTTTACAACAAGCAAAATTACTGAGCAAAGACGCATCATAGCAACAAGCACTCACTCACTGAAACATCGAAATTGTTGATAAGGTAGGGTGACCAGACGTCCGCTTTTCTTGGACATGTCCTACTTTTCATACCTAAAAAAATTGTCCGGGGGGAATTTCAAAATCATCCTGGATTTCGGTCGACTACAGTGCAGCGCGTAGTGCAAACACACCAGGCACTCGAACCGAGCTGTCAGCTCCGGGGCTGGTCCGGGAACCCTGGTGGACGGGGGCAGGGAGCCAGCGAGGGACGGAGTGACCAAACCCAACCTGGTGAAGGTAGCCTGGACACAGGTGGCCCAGTGCTTCGCCCACCAGTGAACCAGTGGGCTGGTCTGTATGTGAATTACGGGGTGTGACAAAAGTACAGGCTAGAACCAAATAAGGCAACATCCCCGAGTTTACGTCAACTTGGTCTTCGTTTGGATTCACCCATTTTATGATGGAAGTTTGGGGTTTGAACTTCTCTGTACGTCCATTTCAACCACTGAACTATCAATATTCATCTATGACAAGGAAAACTCGGTTTTGCATTCTATGACCGTTTTAATATCCGTCTTTGATTTGAGAATAAAAAAAATGTTTTTTTCATTTATTTAAAAAGAAAAATAAACTTAATGTGTCATGGTAAAGCAGAGAGGAACAAATCAATTATCTTTTTAGAATAAATTGTTAGGAATGAGTTGAAGATACAAACTATGAAGAGTACACTAGCAAAAACTGGCAGGTCATATTATTTAAGGTTCCTTTTAATTTTTTTCATTTGTTTTTTGCTCCTTATTTTAAAAGCATGTCATGGAAAAAAATATTGACATAAATAAGGTAAAGTCCAAATCTTTTTTTTAATCAAGGTGTTCTTTTTTTTTCTATGAAACAAGTAAGAAATAAATTTGGCTTATCTCAGGATTGTATAACAGTCTTTCCTTATAAAGACCACAAGAGATGCACACATCAAAACCATACAGTAAATCTTCACCCATCACAAATGATCCTGAAGCTTTTTAAAAACAGAAAACCAACCAGAATCATGCAAAGGCATGACCTAAAAAAACAATGAAAAAAAAACGAGGTTTCCCCTTCACCAAACTATCAGTCAGTCCTGCCTGTTATGTAAGTGTCATGCATGTTTGCTTTATAAATACATGTCCTGGATGTGAAGCATATATGAGTGGGTGGGTGTAAGATGAAGATGGCATCTTTCCATGATAAATAAATGAAAACCCCTGCCTTTTGTATTAGAAGGAGAGCCACAGCGTTTAAATATAAGTCAGCCTTCCGGAATATTTACATTTAGACTAAATAGACTATCTGCCTGTTCTGGCTTATTCTGGGGTCTATCCAGTCATAAACTGAGACTCGTGCTACATTGTGCAATTCCACATTCACGCTTTTGTACAATGGGTCCCAACCATGACAAAACACAACAACGTTCAACCCCCAAAATGGAGGAACACTATTACGTCAAACTAAACAAGCTGTTTTGGGTTTTTTTTTTTTTTTTTTTCAGAGGAGACGCTACACTTAACAGCATGTTAAATTTGGCAGAAATTACATTGCTACAGAGTGTATTTGATCATAAGGTTGAATGTTTTGTACACACAAAACAAACATCGTTATCTAACCGTTTGCTTATAAAAATACAGGCCTGTCGTTCATGATTTAAATATGAATAACGTCTGCAGAAACATTGATAAGGCCTGTTAGTCATGATTTAAATATGATTACAGGCCTCAGTATAAAATGTAATTCCAGTATATGAGCAGTAAAGAAGCAGCGTCACACAAACAGTATTATGATCGACACACAAAAAAAGTACAAGTGTATAAACATCTAAGAAAAACATTTTATAAGCAGTTATTAAGGAGAGGCTCTAGTTAAACATAATCAGCCAAGAAGTATATTGTGATTTTGAGGCGTGTGTTTAGAAAAATCTTTGTAAACATTCTTTTATATAGATTCCTTGACTGAATAGGGCCCTAAAGACACAAGTAAGATCTACTGTACAGTATACGGTACACAAATATATGGTAAAACATCTGTTTACACATTTACACAAAGTAAAACAAACTTCTGAATTCAAAATTTGATGACTAATTTGTGGCTAAATGCTTGTGCTTTGCGAAAAGTTAAAATTGTCATAGATCCCTAAACGGGGACAGCGGCAGGGCAAAAATTGTCTAAAAGTGACAGTGCAATTACCTGAACCATTAGGCCTTGATTATGAAATACCCACATGGTCTAAAAAAGGTTGTGGGTTACTAATAATAAAGCCGTAACAGTGGATCTCAATGGTTTACCAAGAAAATCAGTTTAAACTTGTAAGCAAAATCAGATTCCGACAGTATTGCAAAAGTAAGCCATATTGTTTTACTTATTACATAAATCATTTTTGTATTGAAATTTTTTTAGTTTTAGATGCTGGAAAAAATTGTGCTTTGTGTACCTTTACTATAACCGATTAAGTGGCCAGAGGTACAATGTTGCATAAGCGCAAGGTAAGAGGTTTAAAGGGGAACGCCGTTTTTTTACATTGGGCCCTTGATTTTACGTTATTACATCATCTTCTACTCACCCATATGAGTTTTGTGTCCTTTGGAGCTGTTCTGAAGATATTCCGTTAGGTTATATCTGTTGGGATCTGGAGCTGTACCACCTTCCTCCAGCAGAGTGCGCCGTGGGTCTCCTGGAGCTGGAGTCTTCCAGCACACCTGAGACGCATCTACTCATCAAGAGACCTGCCCTTTATAACCAGCTGCCAGACCTTGCTTCGACGCCGCAGTGTTGACCTAGTTTGGAAACCTGTCTCTAACCTGAAGCTCTGGATGAGCTTAACCTGCCGAGATTGCCCTCGTGAGCGAAACCTGAAGATTCCTATGTGGATTCCCCTGCTGCTCTTAACTAAGAGCTGGAAACTCTGATCAAGGTCTGCCATTAAAGCCAGAAGCAAGACGCTGCAGCTACTTTTGGACTCTGCTGAACAAACAGTCTCTGGACCCAACGGTTCCCTCTGTCTCAAAGAGAAGCCCGGACTCTATCAAGGTATACTCTTGAATTATGAAAGACTCATAACTCATCAGCCTGCTTCCTTATCAAACTATCATCTCTGCAGACTTCAGTGAACCAGCCCGGACCAGTTCCTGATCCAGTTCATGATCTTGTGTTTTTGTGCATACTCAATAAACTCTGTTAAACTTTTACCCAGCCTCCGTCGTGTTCTGCATGTGGGCTAAGAACCATCATGACAATATCCAAGTAACGTCTTCCTATAGGCAACGACTTGAAGGCACAAACTAAACTGTTCATAATGTATTCTTTATGGTACGCCAGCATTCATAACATGTAGGCGAATCACTGTCCCCTAGACATCCGCGGTTATATTTTTTATATTTATATTTTTTTAAAACAAAGCGGCATGTGTATGACGTCATCCGCGCGCACCGGCTACTGTTCATTTTTCCTGTCTGCTGAACTGCAGCTAGTTTTACTCGCATGCCTGGAAGATGTGTAGTGCTACTACCACAGATGATCTCGCTCTCAAAATGGAATTGAATGATTCAGATTAGCTAGCCGAATATATAAGAGGTAGAGCGTAGCCGCCTGGTGTAATGTACATTGGTTAAATAAAGTTTTTTTTGGAAAAAAAAAACTCCTATCCGGCGCGCGTATGACATCATACACACGCTGCTTTGTTTTAAAAGATATAAATATAAAAAATATAACCACGGATGTCTGGGGGACAGTGATTCGCCTACATGTTATGAATGCTGGTGTAACATAAATGATAAATTATGAACAGTTTAGTTTGTGCCTTCAAGTCCTTTGCTCATAGGAAGACGTTACCTGGATATAATGGAATATTTTCAGAACAGCTCCAAATGACACAAAACTTATATGGTTGAGTAGAACATGATGTAATAATGTAAAATCAAGGGCCCAATGTAAAAAAAAAAAAAAACGAAATTCCCCTTTAACTGGTCACCAACTTCCAGAGATTTTTTTGGACTTTTTCTTTTTTTTGGAAGAAAAAGTCCAAAATGAAATGGGGATAAGCACGTCAGCATTCAGATTTCGATGCCGAGTTGATTGCTGGGTGAGAAAGTATAACCAGCAAATGGTGCAAAACTATGCTTATACCTGCTGATAGCACCTGGTGCAAAAATTACTTTCAGGTTCGAAAAAGACTAAGAGAGCACTATCAGGACAAATACTAGGTGTATTTTTTTTATTTGAAGGTTAATATATGGTTTTTTTTGCCTTCTTTCAGTGACATATTCCTTGAATGGGCCCTTTAAAGCAGAAACTGAAATATTAAATTATCTGTTGTTTTAAAAACTACTGCTAATATGATATCAGTTATTACTAGACTATTCATATGTTAGGTTGTATAACATAGTTGAAATACTATAGGGTAATAGTGTAATATTTTGTAATATAGAGGTGTTTAAACTCTAGGAAGCCTATTTTGCATACCCAAACAGAAAAGCAAATAACTTAGGAACTGTAAGCACAAATTACATGTGTGATACATTATTTGACATTTAACATCTTTTAGTTTCTAATAATATATAAATGAAAACCGAATGAGTAAAACACAGCCCAAGCTGCATCAGTTCAAACATGACTCAAAGTTGTTCTGTTTTTTCTGGAAAAATAATAGGTCTTTTTTGAACAGCAGTAGTAAAGACATGCTTGCTTTTTGGGGCTGCTTTGTCATGTCTACATTTTGACGTGCTGCTACATCTATGTTAATTGTGCTTTGGTGCTCGCTGTGTCCTTACAACAAACTTGGTGGTTCAATTGTGGACAATCTAAGCTTTCCAACTATGTCTAACATTTCTGTATTGGTTAACATTTTACCGGTGTAATTTTCATGCATCCTGAGTTATTAGTTGTAATCGCTTTAAATTTTTAATGTTTAATTCAAAATATTTACTTCAGCAATCAGTCGGAATCTAAGGTAAACGTGAAGGCTGCAAATTTAGTCCACTGAAACTGTTCTAATGAAAGGGAAAAGATGCTGCTGCTGTCACAAAGTCTAGATGGTTAAAAGAAGACATTTAAATTTTGAAGAACTTTTTTCTTCAATGTTTAGAAATTCTGCCAGCAAAATGTGTCTTGTTTTTTCCCTCCCACCATTTAGTGTTGAACTAATGTATAAACAACCCCCTGAAAAAAATATGATGGCGTATAAAATCAGTTTGACAAGCTTTGATGGAAAAAAACGTCTCGGAAAAACAAATAAACCTTAAGGCCCATGTATCTAGCGTTATTTCACAAAGAGACCGCGCCTGCCTGAGCACATGAAATACAGAATGACCTTAAGGAAAATGGTCCATTCAGATGAACACTTACGATATGAAAGAGTAACAGGAAGCGTGTCTGTGTTCCTTAAAAAGCTGTTACGTAAGGCAGGGTCTGTTTGGGACAGATGTGATGCTCTTTTGCCATAGTTCAGTTGAGTGCAACTGGACTTTAATGAGCAGGACAGGAGTCCAATTATTTTATATCTAATAGAAATAGGTAATATTACAAAGAAACCAAATGTCTGCTTAAACATCCTACTTTTGCTGTTAAATCCTATTTCAACCTCTCCCATTTCCCTTTTCTTCCATGTCAGGTAAATTTTATTCATTTAGCTGGCAACCTAAAAAGTTTTGTTGTTCTTATTTTGGGAACTATTTTTTTCAAACACCCTATAGAGAGCCCCTCTATCCCTAGAACCTTTTATAATGACTCCTCTAAGGACTTAAACATTGCTTTAAAAAGGATTTAATCCCTTATACATTACTTTTTTTGCCAGATTTACTGCATGTTTTAGCTTGTTTGACAAAGATCACCTGAGTAAACACATCTTTTAAATAAAAATTTGGTTTTAATAAAAAATATTGCAACCAATGTTTAAAGTAAATGAGTAATTGCTAAAGTGGTATGGATGGGATTTTGTTCCATTTGTTGTTGAAATAAAGAACGTATTTTCAATGGAAATTTTAAAAATTAAGTCCATAAGCTTCCTGATTGATAAAAAAATAAGCTTTTTTAAGTTTTTAAGTTAATGACTTTTCAGGATGTCACCAAAAAGCCCAGATCAACATCTTAAGCTGAACAAGCCCTATTTACCTCAGGGTGACTTTCATGTCTTTCATTTGAAAGCTCACAGCAAAGAAGAAATCCTCCCCTACCCACAAAATACACAAAATCTCAAAATGTTTCATCTCAGCGAACCCCAGTACTTTAGGGGACAAATGTTGTCTACGGATGAGACAAAAGAGATACATTTTGGCAGGGGTTTGTCCTATTTCACCTCATGTCTGACTGTCATTACAAAGCAGGACAAACCCAATTAGGCCCACTACACTGAAAAAAATAATGCAACGGTTTTTGGCATTTAGTCTGTCATAATTATTTTATGTCCTACCCTTCTAACATGAAACAATGGTGTTAAAGTAACTAAATATGATTAAGTAACACTTCCGTGTAAGTTTGAAAAAAAACAACAATCAACTGGACTTTGTTTTCAAGGTTTGAAGACGTTTCGCTTTCCCTCCAGGAAGTTTTCTTAATTCAAAAACTTTTACAGAATGACTATGACCTGCATGACTGAGAATCTTCACCAGCATTAAGTAAAAAGCGGTTGCATTACATTTTTTTCAGTGTATTTTCTGGTTGAATAGCTAAAAAAAATTAAAAAAAAAACTACCACAAATGTTAAACAATTGTAGTGTTTTTATCAAAGTCTGGATTTGAATCCCATAATACAGATGTATCATAACCTTTGGTAGGCCGTTTAACCCATCAGTGTGGTTGAATTAGAACAACTCTGCAAATAAAGCGGGCTAAAGTTATCGCCACAGAAACTTTCTGAGGCGATCACTCCAAGACACTGGTTCAGCTGGTTTGGGATGATGTTTCCCTTAATAAGCGATTCCAGTAATTAAAGGACTTTTCTATTTACTCAGGTTATCTTTGACCGATATTCAAATTTGTTTGATGATATGAAGATCTGAAGTTGAAGAAAAAACTCTTTTAAAGCATTTTAATGAGTTCTGAGAGTCCTTTTAGTCTAAGTGAACCGTATTGGCTGAGAAGTTTGAGATTCATCAGTTGGTTTTCTGTTTTGTGCACATATTTAGAGAATGTTGCTACCACTAAGGTCTGAGTCACCTGATCTGATAGAAACCAAGTGCAGAGAAAGGTCTAAACCAGCATTTTGGCATTTCTCTAGGATAATTGGTGAGAAAAGTAACCCTTACTTGGGTTAACTAATGTAGATTACAAGAATTATTATTTACAACAAAACAAACAATGTAGTTTTTGTACAGAATAAAGTAAGAGGTAGAGAGACGTAACAAAAACACGACAATGCCTCTGAAGTGCAGTGTTTTCCCAGAAAAATAACAAGGCTGTAGATCGCAGCTCACAGTCCAACTCTGTAATGACGTGTTTTTGACTGCTGGGCTTGGAGAGCCTCGTTTTCAGAAGCCACGGTGGATACGGGTGCCTGTGAAATGTTTTCTGACAGAACAGTAAGGCTTGTTCGAGTCCCTGCTGCATTTTGATTTGACCAGACTCCCAGAGAGCACAGCTTCCTTTTTCGAGTCATTGCAGGTGGACGGAGCAAAGGAGGGAAGATCTGAGGCAGGGGGATGGGTTTGTTTGTGGTGTAACGTAGCAGCGGCGGTGGCGGCGGTGTGAAGGGATCAAGCCCTGAGTGTTGGACAACAGCACATGCTTCTCCTAAACTAAAACATGCTCTATTTATGTAAAGAGAACAGATATTCACTGTACAAAAAGATAACTAAAAAAAAAGTTTTAAATAAATTCACAACCTCCTGGTTTAGCAGGGTGAAAAATAGGGATCTAAAAGCTTTTCACATTGATTGATATAAATTGTTTTTCACCTGAAAAAAACCTCCCAGCTTTTCACTTGTAAACATTTAAGTATCAAGAGTTTTTTTGTGAAAGATTGAGGAAGTGGATACAGAAGAATAGAGAAAAAAGGACAGTGTTTTCCACAAGAGAGTCTTAGTAGTTTGGACTCTTTCAGCCTGGAAGCCATCCTGCTTTCTCGCTCCACTGATTTCAAACCATCACAACCCTTCAATATACTCCAGTGCAAAATCCTGCAAAGTCCCGTCCTTTAGAACATGGCAGCATTCCAGATAAGACTACACATTGCAGCCAGGCTTTCATGGAAGTGCTACATGAGACAGCGGGTGAAGTTCACCGTGTGCTCAGAAGCTTCCAGTGAAGACTATAGCAAGAAAAGGAAGCTCAAAGAGAAGATAAGAAGCTGGCCAGCCAACATGAGGGGTGGGGTCTTGGCCTTTAGATCCGGCTCACCCGTCTAGTGTGGAGGGGGTGGATGGCTGGAGGAGGGCAGGGTGTGTAAGGTGGCGGCTGGGGGCCCGGTTTGATCCCTCGGGTCCTCATGTAGGATAGAAACTGGTCGGGTATTTCGGCTAGCACTTCCTTAGCCAGGCGAGCCATGCTGAGGATGTGGTTTCCTCGTCGGTCGATGTAGTCCCTGAAAGGAACAAACTAAGGAGGAAAAGAAGAGTAGAAAAGAGAGAGGAGATGTAAATCAACAGGAGGAGAAGTGAGGCAGAGTTTATGAAAGTATGGAGTGAATTTTATTCCATTATTGTTGCAATCAAAGAACACGTTTAGTAAATGAAAAAAAACAAAAAAACAAACACAAAATCTTCTTGATAAAAAAAGGATTTGACAACTACTTTGCTATATTTTCTTAAGATTTTTTTCATCTAATTTCTTTTTCTGTTTTCTAATTCCCACTTTATTTTTGTATGTCTTACAAATGTTATTTATTTAGATTTTTTTCTCTTTTTCATATTAAAGGGAACACCGTTTTTTTTTACATTGGCCCCCTAATTTTACGTTATTACATCATGTTCTACTCACCCATATGAGTTTTGTGTAATTTGGAGCTGTTCTGAAGATATTCGGTTAGGTTATATCCAAGTAAAGTCTTCTTATGGGCAATGAGTTGAAGGCACAAACTTAATTGTTCATAATGTATTCTTTATGGTACGCCAGCATTCATAACATCTAGGCGAATCACTGACCCCCAGACAGCCGCAGTTATATTTTTTATATTTATATATATTTTTTTTTTAAATCAGAGTGTGTATGACGTTATCCGCGCTTCGGACTGGATAAATAAAATAAAAATAAATTATGAAAAACAGCAGAGTTACACTAAAAAAACTTTTTTTGATTATAATTTTTAGTTTCATTTTTTTCAAATGACACTAAAAATTTCAGATACCATTTTTTTCTCAAGTATCCATTTACAAAACTTGTTCTTAAGTTTTCATTTACAAAATGTGGTCTTTGCTCACAACAATTATGGAATAAAATTCACTCCATATAAGTAGGAAAGCTGGGAAAAAGAATACAATTAAGAAAACATTAAAAACGACAAGAAAAGGGGTGTGCCATAAAGAAGGTAGGTAAATTGGGTTGAGCACAGAGTCAGACGCTCAGATCTTCCCCTATTAACTCTGTCCCCTATCTGAATGCAAAGATTCCGGTACGTAAAAGGTGTTAGAAATCTGTACCTGAACAATGTCCCTTTCAGCGTATCTTCCTTGGGATGATATCCTCTCCTCATCCCCGTCAAGCTCAATCATCTCTGCGGAGGAAAGAACAGTAGCTTCTTTACTGTCCATAGAGTTTAAGGATCTCTGGAGTGTTTTGAAGTCCTTCCCTTAGTAAAATGAACTGTGGTGGAAATGCAAAACAACTACAGACAGAAACATTCTTTGTGCACATATTGAAGAGTGAGCCTGATCATATAGAAAAAGAGGTGTAGTAGGTCTGTAGTGTATTTGCCACTGCATATATAGTTGGCATAGCAACACAGAAAGCAGTAAAAAGTTTTGATTTTTCCACAAAGAGGGAACATGGAAAATGCTAAGAATGGTGATTGCTCAAACTTCCTAATTAACTATAATTAATTACAAATTTTCAAGGTTTTCTTCAACTACTCCCTCCAAACAACATTGAACGTATCCCCTTTGTCCTGCTGAAGTAAAGCATACCCAAAGCAAGGTAGGACTATATTGTTTAATGGAAGGTTTGGATGTTTAAGGGTGATGAAAAGTTTACCGCTAATACTGCTTTTAATGTGAACCAGAAAGTTTAACTTTTGTCTCATAAGACCTAAGCTTGGTCATCCAAATGTTTACTGTGCTTCATGGCACTTTTCTTTTTTAAATGGCGGTTTTCTTGCGCCTTTTCATAAAGGTCAGGTTTGCTGAGCAGTGGTCCTCCACAGCACCTCCAGAATAACCATCAGCCTTTTGCGTGAGAAATAATATTTGTGCCTTTATTTCATAATCTTTTCCTGTTTTAAACTTTTCAGCTCTGATTGACCAGTCTTCTGATGATGGAATTTTTTTAATAATGTTCCCTAATAAATATCTAAGTTTACAAAGTAGCTAGACATAGGAAGCGATAAATTTGCACACAGATGGACTATCTGGTATCTCTGACTACCGTACTTATTCCAAAGGTAGTTGGCTGAACTTTTATTCTGGGTTTTCAGACCACAGTGGTTTAAATGTAAACACATCCTCTGCTTTTTATGGAGTGACTTTGGTTATTATACTGTAGTTGTCATTATTGTTTCAAAAAACAAGCTTTGTAAATGGAAATTTGAAAAAAAAAATTATTCAATCAATTACAAATGAAACTTCTTACTTCAACAAGGTTTTGAGAGAAACTTTGCTATGAAGTCAATGTATTTTTTTCACATTTTAAAGCTACAGTGTGTAATTTTCAGCGACATCTAACGTCCAGACTGCAGACTGCAGCAACATGAACATCTCCCCCCCACCGCTTCTCCCCCCCAACAGTACGGCGAGCGTTACGGGACAAAATGTCTTCCACGACGTCGGAATCGCCTACCTTCTCAAGTGATGAGGTTTGTTTACATAGATAATTTTACAGATTGTTGGGAGCTGGAGAAGTTCCACCTTTTCTCCAGCAGAGTCCGCCGTGGATCCTTCTGACTGAGCCTCCTGCACAGCTGCAGCCCATCAAGATCATCAGAGGATCCACTATATAAGCTGTCTTCAGACCTTGCCTAAACGCCGCAGTGTTGATCCAGTTGGTCAGCGCCTAAGCCTAGACTCTCAGTGTTACTTTGTGACTTTGAATCCAGCCTGGATTCTAACCGTTGTCTCTGTCTTCCAGGAAACCAGTGTCTCCTCTGTGAAGCTCAGGAAGAGCTAACCTGCCGAGCCAACCCTCAGAGCCAAACCCGAAGAACCATAGAGAACTTCCATGCAGCTCAGGACTAAGAGCTGGAAAACCCAAAACCAAGGTCTGTTCATTAATAGACGTGAGACGCTGAAGCAGCAAGCGGACTCTGCTGATCAACACCTCTCCAGATCCAACAGTGACTCTCCCAAGGCTAACCTCAAGAACCCTCAAGGTACAATCAGTAATCATCAGGAAATCAAGCTCCAACTTGCAACGCTAACTGAACTGTCTCTCACGCAGACTCCGGTGAACCAGTATCCAGGCCCGAGCCAGAACCAGTACATTCTGTGTGCTTGTTGCAAAATAAACTTGTTAAACTTTTATTCCTGTGTCCGTCAGTGGTGTTCTGCATACTTGGGTCGCTCTTTGAGAACCCATCTTGACAGAACACTGCGGCCAAACTCAAGGCCCAGTAGATCACTTCATCCGTCGATTGAAGGAACAGGCGGCCCAGATCCATGGACACGGCCTGGCGCTACGTGAGTTAAACACCCACATAGAAAGACAAAATCAAGCTATCCAAAGCTATGCTAACTACATGAACAGCGCTAATGCTGCCCCGACACCTCAACCATTTCCGGGTCCAGTTCCACCTCCGAGGTCACCAGCTGTGACGTCATCCGAGTTCCGCCCAAGTCTTCCAGAAAAGTTTTCTGGTAACATGAAAGATTGCAAAGGATTTTTATTTCAGTGTCGTTTGATTTTTCAGAACTCTCCAGGCAGCTTTTCCACGGACTACAAAAAGATAACCTTCATCCTTTCTCAGCTAACAGGAAGAGCCTTGGAGTGGGCTCAGGCAAGATTTGCCACCGACGATAGCCTTAACTGCTATTACTCTGATTTCCTCTCTGAATTTACTCAGGTATTCAACCAAGAGACTGATCAAACCATAGACTCTCGAGCTCTTTTCAATTTAAAGCAGGGAAATTCTTCTGTGGCTGAATTCTCCATCAACTTCCGGGTTAAAGCGGCAGCTTCCGGATGGAACCAAAGCGCTCTGAAGGGAGCCTATTTCATGGCTTTAAATGAGCACATCAAAGATGAGCTTGCAACCCTCGACGAACCAGCTACCCTCGAAGATTTAATTCGTCTCACGATCAGATTGGACAATAGAATCCGTGCCAGAAACAGTACTAAAAAGCAGGGGACACTTTCTTCTGCCTCACATAACGTGACTGTTTGTTCTTCCTCTACAGAGCAGCTGCCCATACAGAGACCTAAGTCCCAGTCTCTACCGCTGCCTATTCAGGCCTCTCATTCGGGCGAAAGAGATGTTGAACCCATGCAGGTGGGACACACGAGGCTCACCCCAGAGGAGAGACAAAGACGTTTTCTAAGCAAATTATGCATTTACTGTGGTGAGAGTGGACACTTCATCCCTTCCTGCCCGGCTAAATCAAAAGCCTGGGCCCGCCAGAGGATCTGAGGAGTCTGGCGGGCCAAATTAACAGTAAGAAATCTCCTCGATTGTTGCTTCCCGCCACGTTGTTTTGTTCTAACCAAAGCCTCTCCTTTTCTGCATTCATCGATTCAGGCTGTGGACGGAACTTAATCGATTCAAACCTCGTCCAACAACTCCAAATTGAAACCATTCCTCTGACTCAACCTCTTAGTGTTTCTGCAATTGACGGAAAGAGACTTCACCAAGTAACCCATCAAACTCAGCCCCTCGAGCTACTTCTGTCAGGTAACCACCGAGAGACTATAACATTCTTTGTTTTTCCTTCTGCATGCTCCCCTCTGGTGCTTGGCTTCGAGTGGTTGGAGAAGCATAATCCTCACATTAATTGGACAGAACGTCACCTGGAATCATGGTCCATTTCATGCCATGAGACATGCCTCCGTTCGGCTGCCCCCTTGGTGGGGTCTCCTAGAGGTGGGGGGGAGATGGACTCTCCTGACCTTTCTTCTGTTCCTTCCGAGTACCATGACCTAGCTCCCATCTTCAGTAAGGTCAGTGCGACGTCCCTACCTCCACACAGACCATACGACTGCGCCATTGAACTTTTACCTGGTGCACCACTACCTAGCAGCAGGTTGTATAACATTTCCAAGCCTGAAAGAGAAACCATGGAAAAATACATAAATGAATCATTAGCTGCAGGAATAATCCGTCCATCTTCCTCTCCTTTGGGCGCTGGGTTTTTCTTCGTTGGAAAGAAGGATGGCTCCCTGAGACCATGTATTGATTACCGAGGTTTGAGCCAGATCACAATAAAAAACAAATACCCACTTCCTTTACTCGCCTCTGCATTCGAACCTGTACAGGGAGCTACAGTTTTCTCTAAACTGGATTTAAGGAACGCATATCATCTTCTTAGGATCCGAGAAGGAGATGAATGGAAAACAGCCTTCAAAACTCCATTGGGCCAATTTGAGTACTTGGTAAAGCCTTTTGGTCTAACTAACGCCCCAGCCTGCTTCCAGGCCCTCGTGAATGATGTTCTCAGAGACTTTTTAACTGTGTTTGTCTTTGTTTATATTGACGACATACTCATTTACTCCAGGAACCTCGCTGAACACAAGAAACATGTCCGCCTTGTTTTACAGAGACTGCTGGAGAACAAGCTGTTCGTAAAGGCAGAGAAGTGCGAATTTCATCAGTCTTCAGTCACCTTTTTGGGGTTTGGGCTCGAGGGCGGCCAGGTAAAACCATCTGAGGACAAGTTAAAGGCAGTTTTAGATTGGCCAGTTCCAGAGAACCGCAAACAGCTACAGAGATTTCTAGGCTTTGCAAACTTTTATCGTCGGTTCATCAGGAACTACAGCCAGACCGCCCTTCCATTAACTTCTCTGACCTCTGTCAAACGCACTTTTCAGTGGACCCCTGAGGCGCAAGCTGCGTTTGATAAACTGAAATCTTTATTTTCCAGAGCACCAGTGCTTATGCAGCCTGACCCAGCTAAACAGTTTATCCTCGAGGTGGACGCTTCAGATTCTGGAGTTGGAGCAGTCCTATCCCAGAGACTTGACACGGATCAAAAGATCCACCCTTGTGCATTCTTCTCCCGTAGACTTTCTTCCGCTGAGCAGAATTACGATGTGGGAGACCGAGAGCTGTTGGCCATCAAACTAGCGCTGGAGGAATGGAGACATTGCCTGGAGGGAGCTGAGCATCCGGTTCTAGTATGGACTGACCACAAGAACCTGGCTTACATCCAGTCAACCAAGCAAGCCAATCCTCGTCAATCCAGGTGGTCCATTTTCTTCTCTCGGTTTAATCTCATCTCCTACAGACCCGGATCCAAGAATGTCAAACCCGATTCTCTCTCTCGTCTTTACTCCGTCGATCATCCTGAGACGCCTGAACCAGTCCTTCCGGCTTCCTGCACTGTGGGAGTGGTTAACTGGGAAATCACTGACCTTATCAACTCCGCCCTGGCTACTGAACCAGACCCAGGTAACGGTCCCACTAACCGAACCTATGTACCATCTTCCGTCAGGTCCCGTCTCATTCAATGGATGCATGCTGCCAAGTTTTCCTGCTCATCCGGGAGTTAGTAGAACCAGAGCTTTGATCTCAAGACGCTTCTGGTGGCCCACCCTCCATAGAGATGTCAAGGAGTATGTGCTGGCTTGCTCCACATGTGCCCGTAATAAGGCCTCACACCAACCTCCTTCTGGCCTGCTTCAGCCGCTTCCGGTTCCCTCGCGCCCTTGGTCCCATATTGCAATTGACTTTGTCACCGGCCTCCCAGTCTCTCGAGGTATGTCCACCATTTTCACCATTGTTGACCGTTTTTCGAAGGCCTGCCATCTCATTCCCCTTAGGAAACTCCCCACGGCTTTCCAGACAGCCCAGCTCCTCGTCAAACACGTCTTCCGCTTACACGGCATCCCCCAAGAGATCCTCTCGGACCGGGGTCCTCAGTTCATTTCCCAGGTTTGGAAAGCATTCTGTTCTGCACTCGGCTGTAAACCCTCTCTGACCTCTGGTTACCATCCACAATCAAACGGACAAACAGAGAGGATGAACCAGCAGCTGGAATCACCCTTCGTTGCCTCACCTCTAACAATCCCGTTGACTGGAGCCAATATCTCACATGGATCGAATACACACATAACTCCCTCAAATCTGCTTCCACTGGTCAATCTCCTTTTCAGGTTAGTCTCGGTTATCAACCTCCATTTTTCCCCGCAGACGAGAGAGAGATTTCGGTCCAGTCAGTAAACCAACACATCCGTCGCTGTCAGAAGATCTGGAGAGAAACCATCGCCACCCTCAACCGATCTTCAGACACCAACAAACGCTTCGCCGACTCCAGGAGACGTCCCGCCCCCGAGTACACAGAGGGCCAAGAGGTATGGCTGTCCACTCGGGACATTCCCCTTAAGGGGATGTCCCGAAAACTCTCACCCAGATTCATAGGCCCCTACAAGGTCTCCCGAGTCATCAGCCCATCAGCCGTCCGTCTCCAACTGCCTCAGTCGCTCCGGATTCATCCAACCTTCCACGTGTCACAAGTCAAACCTGTCGTCTCGAGTTCCCTGTGCCCGCCTTCCGACTCCCCACCACCCGCCCTGGAGGTCGATGGTCATCCAGCCTTCACGGTTCGACGCATCGTGGACTCCCGTCGACGAGGTCGCGGCTGGCAGTACCTCGTCGACTGGGAGGGCTACGGACCGGAGGATCGCCAGTGGGTTCCGGGCTCGTACATCCTCGATCCTGCCCTTATCGAGGAGTACGAGCGTTCCTGCCCTTCGACCTCTTCCGGACCGCCAAGGGGTGGTCGTTGAGGGGGGGGTACTGTTTGGAGCTGGAGAAGTTCCACCTTTTCTCCAGCAGAGTCCGCCGTGGATCCTTCTGACTGAGCCTCCTGCACAGCTGCAGCCCATCAAGATCATCAGAGGATCCACTATATAAGCTGTCTTCAAACCTTGCCTCAACGCCGCAGTGTTGATCCAGTTGGTCAGCGCCTAAGCCTAGACTCTCAGTGTTACTTTGTGACTTTGAATCCAGCCTGGATTCTAACCGTTGTCTCTGTCTTCCAGGAAACCAGTGTCTCCTCTGTGAAGCTCAGGAAGAGCTAACCTGCCGAGCCAACCCTCAGAGCCAAACCCGAGGAACCATAGAGAACTTCCATGCAGCTCAGGACTAAGAGCTGGAAAACCCAAAACCAAGGTCTGTTCATTAATAGACGTGAGACGCTGAAGCAGCAAGCGGACTCTGCTGATCAACACCTCTCCAGATCCAACAGTGACTCTCCCAAGGCTAACCTCAAGAACCCTCAAGGTACAATCAGTAATCATCAGGAAATCAAGCTCCAACTTGCAACGCTAACTGAACTGTCTCTCACGCAGACTCCGGTGAACCAGTATCCAGGCCCGAGCCAGAACCAGTACATTCTGTGTGCTTGTTGCAAAATAAACTTGTTAAACTTTTATTCCTGTGTCCGTCAGTGGTGTTCTGCATACTTGGGTCGCTCTTTGAGAACCCATCATGACACAGATAGTATTTCATTAGTCTGTGTAGGGTATAGATTTCATGTAGACTTTAGATAATAAATATACCCGTTATTTTTTCTACGTCGTTGTGACGTTTTGGTGAGCTGCTTTGCATGGGGATATAAACAAGCGAAGTAATTGTAGTCATTAGTTTAACAGCGAGATTGTGTTCGCTGGAAGAATATATATTCCCCGTTTACAGAGTCCAAGTCTTGTTTGTGGCACGGGGGTTACAAGGCGAGGAAGAGGGAGAGGAAGAGGGCGAGGGCATGCAGCTAGGGCCAGGCGAGAGAGGGGAGCCAGCGGGGTGACTAGAGCAGAGGAGAAAAGGCTTGAAGATCTCCAAAGGAGCCGGAGAGAAGTAACCGAGGTATATATCCAGAAAATTATTTTACAGAAAATTACTGAATCATTACCTGTGAAACGTCAGGGACGTTGCTGAATAAGTATACTGGAGAGTAACAGCATCATCACGCAGCATGTTATTGTTTTAGACAGGTCTGAGCATCCTGTACTCCAAAAACTGCAGTGATATTAGACAATTGTGTGTGTAGGATTAATTACCTGTCCAAGAGAAAACTGGCAACTTGAGCGTCACTTTGAAAACCTTTTTCCTCCATCAGTGACTTCCATCGTGTAAATGCCGTGCCAATGTTGATCCGTGTTTTTTGTCGTTTCTTGTCACGCTTGCGTTAATTCTCGTCGTGTTTCCGCTTCTTAGATGACGGGGGTTCGGTGTCCGTCGCTTTTTGTTGTGATACAGAGTAGGCATGATCCTCCATTCGTCTGATGTTTGGCCACACAGTGCCAAACAGTTTGCAAAGTCACTCACGCCTGCCGCCTTGTTCACCTTTCTTGTTACTGAGGCGCAGTATACCTGCTTCTTCTTCTTCTTTGGTTTCAGGCAGACTAAACGCTTCTCAGGCATAATACTGCCATCTACTGTTCAGTACCATCTCAGTTAATCTCTCTCAACTTGCCATAGTTATTTTTGAGCGTAATGGGAGATCTCGCAATCGCTAGTTTGTTGCCTCTGCGCTTGCCGTAGCGCAAAGATGTCTGCCTCCATGGCTGCGAGACCCGCTCCTATGTAATTATAAATAACGAATTCTAAGGCAAAGCAAATATTATGGTTAAAAGGCTGAGCTCATAGGTGATGATAAATAACATAGTTATGTATAATATATTAAATTTCTGACTTTATATCCCTGTAATTATTACACACTGTAGCTTTAATTTTTCATATCTAAAATGTTTGATTAGTGATTTTATATTTTCAAGTCTTATTTTTGTATGTTTCTTTTTCATATAGTTAGACCGATAGGTTGTGGCTTATTTTTACTTCTGATTCTCACCCACAGAGGATTACGTCACTATCTCTGTGCCTGTGCCTCCTTTTTGCCACAATGACCACAGACACTGTACTACTTTTCAACTGTCTTTGAAAGGTACAATAACTAGATGCACAAATGGCCACCTCAGTTAGTTTATGATTGCTTGGTAAGAAATTACATTCGAATATGCTACTCCCAGTGCTTTGCACATTTTTGATGATCAGCATATGTTTTGCATATTTAGTTTGACAAATTTGATTCTTTTCAAATTTGGCTTTACAGATTACATTCTCTTCACTTCTCGGGGCGGACTTTCTTCTGGAGTAAGGAACGAAGATACATTTCTATCGGTGTGCATGGTCTAGTAGAAATAAAACATTTGTATTGTTCAAGAGCGAACGCTTATACTTGGCTTGAGGGGAATGTGATTTGCAAAAGGATGTGAAGAAAATGCTATATTTAAACTTCAATCTGAAAAAAACATTATTTTACAGTTATATTGAAAATAAAATATAAAAAACAGAAAACAGCAAAGTTAATCCCAAAACCTTTTTTGGAATAAGAAGTTTTTTTTTTTAAAAAGCTTCATATCTGGATTGCAATTTTTTTTCAGATTTCCATTTACAAAACATGTTCTTTGCTTGCAATGATAATAAAAGATAATAAAGTCAATGCAACTGTAACCCTGACTGACGTTAATAGTCACTTTCTATCCAATCTGACTGAGCTATAGCTTAATCACAAAGACATCTGAGCAAACAAACTCAGTCTTTAGATGTAGAAAGCAGGAAAAAACCTAACAAGCCCTAAAAGTGACTTAAAAAAACTGACTGAGTAGGGCTGAATATGTGATCATGCATCATAATTGTAAATAAATTGTAATAATAAACATTATAAACTGTGGTTCCAATGTGACTAAATGTAAAAAAAAGGCTTTCTGGGGATGTGAATACTTTTGCATGGGTAGGCTATGTTGTAGAAGAGGATGAACCATGTGGGAGGTGAGATAGGAGGAGGAGCAAAGTGATTGTGTGCTAATAAGTCCCACAGACACCTCACACTGCTTACCATCAAATTCTGCTGGTCCAACTCCAACTATTATAATGGACATGGGCAGAGACGCAGCCTGAAAAAAAAAAACAAAGCAGGGGAGATCAAAGGCAGAAAGTCTCAGTAATTTCTCCTTTAGCCAAATTCAACTTTGTAGACTGTCAGTGAGGCACACCTGCAAATTACTAACTGCACTGTAAATGAAACAGAGGAAAAGAAGCCCTATCGAAAAAATGTCATCCCTATTGTTATGGCAGGTGGAGGTTGTCCAATTCCGTCTGCCATCCACGGAACGTATTTTGAAACCTGTCGCTGAGCAAGGTTTTTTAATTTCATGCATCTACAACCTTGTCTAAACCTCCCAAAGCTTGTCGGCTCAGAAACAATTCCAATTTGCATCCACCTCTGCCCCCAGCCTCGGTCGGATACCAATTGGAACTGCAATATTGTTTATTAAATCTTAGCCAAGTGGGGACAACAAAGCAGGGTTTTAGCCACGAGTGATGAATGGAGGCTTGTAAGAATTTCATAACTTCCTCCAGTTATTACAGAGGCCTTAAATTGCCAGAGAAATGAGGGACACAGCACCTCCACAGGCAAGTAAATAATTACTATCAAACCTTACTTTACAGCATGCTTGTGTAAATTCTCAGCATTATACCGGATGTGGTAGGAAGAGGAGGCTAAACGCTCCACAAAGCTTGGCAATTTAAAGCAACAACTGGGGCTACTGGGGTTCCAGTTGTTTGACATCACCTGAAATCATTGCACATATTAAATCGGAGCAAACTCATTACAGTTATTAAAGCTGAACGCAGCAGGAACGAGGAAGGCGGTGGGGGGTGTGGGGGTGACCAGGCGACCATCGCTCCTCCCTCATTCCCCTAATTAGTGCAGATAAGAGCCGGAGTGTAGGAAGCATGAGAAGGCTTTGCTTTTTATAGTCTCCCTTTCATACTGGGTGTTTGCTGGTTTATCAGGACCTTTGTTGGAGTCTTAATTATAGCAAAACCTCCAGGGTTCCTCACTCATTTTATAGCGTATTAGAAGCACGATGGCACTCACATGGATGGCTGCTTCCCAGATTAATGAGAATCTCTTCCACTCTTTCTTCTTTACAGGACGAATGAAGTTTGAAAGCAATGCAGGAAAAATATGTCTCTCTTTTTAAATGTTAAGCATGTAATGTTTAGGGTTTATTGTGATGGATTTTGGATATTGTTGATCACAGTTGCGTTCTCAGTTTCATCCCGCTTATGTTTCTTTATCTAATAGAATTATGTTTCCACATCATTATGGGGGTTCTGATCAGGTGTTTTTCCCCATTTAGAGGGATTTAATAAATAAAATCTTTGTAACTTTGCCGTTTTCTCACAATTGTTTTTTTTAAACTTTTGTAAAATTTTCATACCTGATTTAAGTATTGTTTTACAGATAATGAATCTAACAGTTTTCTTTAAATATTTTTTGTTTACACTTTATTTTTATTAAATCCCTTCTTTTAAGGTTGTGTTTTTTCTGCTGTGAACAGTTAAGAAGCATTTCTGTTGGAACCATCATGGTTCCCATCAAATGTGTGTCATCTTGGATGCTTGTGCATTTTAAAGAAAGATGCTGTGGACAATCTGCTGGAGTTACAGTCTGGAGTTACGGCTACTCTGGAATGTTTATGGGGATTTGGAGCCAGACGCCTACAGTGCAGCAGACTCGTCTTAAGGTGAAGAAAAATCATATTTGAAAGTCAAATCATTCTGGCTTAAAAATGTATGTAAATGTATTAATAATTAGACCATATTGTCCCAAATGTTTTAAAAAAAAATCCTGTCTTAAAATCTGTGGGTTTTTTGGTTATCTTATGCAGGCCAGTTGGTTATAGGTCAGCCTGCACACCTAAATTCGGCCAATCATATATTAACGGTCATCTGTCATTCAAATTTTTTCGGTCATAGCATCTTGATTCATATATCGCAGCTAATATACGCAACCGTTGAAATAAGACTTATTTTCTGTGCCATTGAGTTCCGCCCCAGTGTTCACAGGGATGGACGTCTGTGTCTTCTGCAGGTGTAGAGCTAACAGAACTGGCAGCGTTGTGAGGCAAGGGCTCAAACATGTACGGCTGTAAGCCTTCTACACCAAACCAAGCTTCTGCCGCCCTGGCGTCCTCTTCCAGACCATCTTCGTTCCCACTTTCCTCCTCTAAATAAAAAATGCCTGACAGAGGAGACTCATCCATGACCTCCGACTCTAAACTCTCCTCCTCTTGCATGTTTCCGCTGCCCATGTCCTTCCTTGACAGTGTCGTTTCTAAGTCACCAGTTTAGTGCTGCTTGGTCAATGGAATATCCCATTGGGAACCTGCTAGCACTAAGTTGCTAACTGGTTAGCAAGATGATTCTGACAAACCGGCCACAATCAAACTTGCTTGCGAACCTTCTGGCACAACAATCCCACCCTCTTGATAAACGACCAATCATATTCACTTTATTCAATCGTGTAAAGTCATGCACCACTAAGGAGAATTTGAGAATGCGCTGTTCGGAACAGCCACTTCCCTACGACTTTAAGAGCACTTGGAGCAGCAAGAAGTGAAGGTGGTGTGAATGAAGGTTGAAGCACAGATGTCGGGGTGGTCTAACAGCAGCTAGAAAAGCTAACCCCTACAGCCCGCCGCTTCCCTTAATCTTTCTCTCCAATGTCCACTCAGTGGAAAACAAAATAAATCATCTGCAACTGGAACTTTCTTCAAAAAGACTCTAAGAACTGCTGCGTTCTGATTCTGACAGAGACATGGCTCAACTCATCAATACTGGATGTTAGCTTGGATGGGCTCGCTCTTTCCCATCCAAATTATGTCTTTCTCTCCTGCCCTGCTAACATGAAACAAAACGGTTGCATAATTTTTTTCAGTGTTTACACATGTGTGTACTGTGATTTTAAATTATAAATTTCTTTCTTTTTTCATATTTTTAAAAGGACCTGTCAGTGCCAGCATAGATCACAGTGTGTTTTTGGATATGATAAAGTAGATCTATTACTTAAGCTTCTCATTAAGAGAAAATATGATGCAACAAGGATCCCCTCAGTCACCATCTGTGTCACTGATTTCCCCCTCTCTCAAAAATATGTGTACATGTTTATTGTTTATTTTATTCACAACCTTTGCACTAAAGTCACCTGTTTTGTCAGTATGAAAGCTTTATATAGAAGACCCCAGATATCCCACACTTTTCCTTGTGCATAAGGAACTGATTCTCCTGGCTTTTTAGGTGAGACTTGTTGACTCTAACCCCTTTATATATATTACATTGTTATAGTGTTTTGATAATAGCTCTGCAGCAGCTTGCATGTAGTGTCTTTCTCTAAGGCAGCTCCTGGATCAGCTTTTCTAATTGGTTGATGCTCCACATCAGCTGGAAAAGTTCAGATTTCCCAACTGTGCCGTTTTACCACTTTATCACTTGAATTGAACTATGGAGGACTAGGTTAGTCACTAAAAAAGAAATACTACCAGTGGCAGCTGGCCAATATAGGGTGCTAGGGCGTGGCCCCCACCAACCCAATGACCCTGATTGAGACATACATTTTTTTTTACATTTTTTATAATTTAATTTTAAATAAAAATGTAATATTTCAAAATATTTACATATATATATGTTTTAGATGTGCAAGATAAATATTCAATGTTTATGATGAGTAAAGTATCATTTAATTTTTTGTCGGATTGGTGACGTATTTCCTTTCGCCCTAGGGCACAAGAATGTTTAAAAAAATTACTTTTTGTTAAATGTTGTACATGCACAGTAGCTTCTCTGCAATACAAATGTATAGGACGGCCCAGGGCGCATCTAAGCAGCGACCTGATGTGACAGGAAGTGCATTTGTTTATCAACTCCCGCCACAGCGCTGATGTTTTACTGGTGATTGAAAGGTCGAGTCGTGAGACTTGGAGATGCATTATTTGGTATATGTCTATATTGAATTTGTAGCCCCCCTGGACAAAACTCAATCAGCCGCCACCAAATACTACCATTTCCAATTTAACATTTAATTCATACATTTAGAAGTCGAATTTTAAGCTCTTTTTGTAATTGCACATTTTAAATCAAATTATTTCTAAATTGTATTTATTAATCTTCTATTTTAATATACTTTTTCTGAATAAAGATCTAAAAAAACACAATGCATCTGATTATTAATACTTCTCCTTATCAAACATTAAAAAAGTTAAACTTTTTCTACTGTGATTATTGTTTCCACCTTGTCTTTTCAAATTTCCATTACTTGGAAATGTTAAATACAAATGGCGATGTTTAAGTAAAAAGAAAACGCAAAAAGGAATTGAAAAATTAAGATGAAAAAGGAAATCAAGGATGCTGATAAAGAAAGTTACTAAAAATGGTAGCTCTAAAACCTTAAATTAGGAACAGGCTTTGAAACTAATTTTCAAATTACAGTATTTCATAATAGACTAATAAATACAAGTTACAATTCCTCTTTAATAATTTAATTTGAAATGTGAAATCAGAAAATGCTTTTCACATGGTATTTTTATTTGTACATTTTTTCAGTGCTTCTCCTGACTGCTCCCAACATTAAAATCCTGCCTCTACACTTAAGGACATTCATAGACTCTGCATTTAAACCAGACCCCCTGATGCTGAAAAAGGTGTGAACGCACCGTAAGCAGCGTTTCTTTAGAAAATGAACAATACTCAGTACATAACATATTATAAAACCCATTAGGTTTAAACACTCTCCACGCTTTGTTTTCTATCTCTGTTCCAAAATGTAATAAAAAAAACAACATTTACATTTACTATGGACTCTTTGGTCTGTGCCATGTCAGTGATCACTCCGTCCGAGATGATGAGAAGGATGAAATACTGTGAGCCATCTGTCACGGCTGATGCATACCTGATAAAAAGACAACAAGTTAATGGAAAAGAAAAGTTAAATGATGAAAACAAAAAACAATTGCAGAAAACATTTTATTCTGACGTTTATTAAAGGGATAAAACATGGTCTGTCTAACTGTTGCTCACACTGACAAATTTCATTTGTTCCAGAGAAGAAGATTATGCAAGCATCAATTTTATGGATGGCCAGATATTAACTTGAAGGAGTTGTGGTTTAATAAGCCCCCATGTCTAGCTGGCTCACAATTATCTTATTACAGAAAAAGCTCATTTTAAGAAATGACTCCTCAGAGATGAGAAAAAGGTAGTCTGATTTGATTAAAGAAATGCTGACTGATTAGTCAGTCATCACCACTGTTAAACAACAACTTACATAAAATATTGATTTTAGTTCAATATTTGTTATTTTTGGGTTATTTAATCACTTTACAGATCTGATCAAATTACAGACGAGTTTCTTTGGGGAAACAATTTCCTAAAATATTGGAAAAATTATTTGTTGAAAAACCTGCAGATGTATGTCCTGAAAAAATAGTTTATTAGATGATCATCAGTATAGTTATAGAAGTAATAAATTTATATCTGTAGCACTTACTTTTTACAACAGCAATAGAGAAGAAAACAATATAATGTTGGTATCTTTACTGATTTACAAAAATAATTTAAAACTATTGCTCATTCATTATTGCAGAAATGTGAAAAATATGGATAAAAACCTCCCTACCAACATAACAAGGTTCAGCATGTGAACATTTGTAACACAGAATCACATTTAAGAAGAGTAACCTGTGCCTTGGTTATTTATACTTCACATAAATTAAATTTGCAAATTTAAACATATTAAAACTTATGTTTGCATATGATACAAATATATTTTGCTTACGGTAAGATATGAACAATTGAATAAATTCCTAGATGGATAAATCATTTAGTTAAAGAAATGGTTTGATTGAAATTAAATATATCTCAATGAAACAATAAACAAGGCAAAGTGTAAGACATAGGAAATACATATAAATAAGTCAATTAAAATAAGTGAATTTTTTCTAGACTTGATCAGTTAAATGAGACATTTTGCCAATGGAATACGATAATTTACATTGTCTTAAAAAAACAATATCTTGAAATATATTATTTCCACTGGTATATCTGCTCAGATTAAGGGAAAACACACTTATTTTAAGAAAAGATGTGGAATTACCTTAATAATGAATTAAAATGATGTCTCAGTCAAATTTAGGGAAAAATAAAAATAACAAATGCATATGCTGCCAGCTGATTAAATGAAATATAAAGTAAGAAAAGAAGATTATGAAATATTTGTGATATTTTTTTTACATTTGCTGACATTCTTGTTGTTGCTGTGGAGGTAGGCGATTCAGCTTATTTCTCTGGTTGTGAACAATGATCTTGTTCATTACCAGAGGAAGCTGAAAATAAAGTCACTTAAATTCTAACTGGACAGCAGACTGCTGTCAAGTGGTTCACACATATCCTCAAGTAAAGCTGTTAGTAACTTAAATTTCAACTACAACACCTTTCATATCCTCTATGTATCTTATGCAAGAGTTGGTGACAGTTCTGAATGCTACTGCAAAACCACAAACATTTCAGTGCCATAAAAGATGCACAAGGCAAGTTATGAAATGAATAAAACATTGGAGAGCAGCACCACTTATGATCAAAAAGACACATAGCATTGTAAATTAGGGTTGAGTCTTCATTTATTTAGCTCCACAACGAAACAAAGCGGGTTGTCTGGTACATACGCTGAGGCTAAACATCTGAGGTGATTGAGCAGGACAATGTTTTGCAGTTTAGTAGCACTCTGATGCCACAGACTCAGCAATTTGACGTGACATGATGTCACGTCTTTGGCCGGCGCCTTTTAGCTTTTCAGTCAGATGCTCCGTGGCAGAAGCGAGCGTGGAACAATGCAGCTATTCTGAGGCTTGAGGGGGTGGACGGAGCATCGCGGAGAAAGATGGGATTTGAAAGCCAATGATGAAAGGTGGGAAAAGTGCTTGTTACAGTCAGTCTTGGGGACCATGAGACAAGATCTGGCAGCAGGAGACATCAGGTGGGAGTTGAAAGAAGCTGTGGTTTCAAACAGACCCAGAACTTTATTTCATTCAGTTGCCTTTCAGTCATGGTAAAAAAAAATAAAATAAAAAAAACAGGAACACAACCTCTGTTTTAAATCTTGGCTTTTACCTATCAGGACCCAAGAAAATGAACTGGCTTTTACTAGCACCTGAAATGGTTGAAATGCATTGTCAAATGTGTCAAAACACAACAGATTACACATTTCTAAAGACACATCCTGAGCTATCTCTATAGTTATGCTGCTATAGGCTTAGACTTCTGGAGGACAAAAGGACCCCTATTTCATCATTCTGCATCATTCTATCTCTATTCTCCCACTCTGCAGAATCTGTTAGTTCAATATCTAACATTATGCTCCCGCTGCGTTTTCTCATAGTAGCGTTGCCTCGTCTGTTCCTGTTTGGCTGTAACTCCATCCTGGAGAGAAATATCAGCTGTGCTGCCGCCATCACCATCTTTGTTTATCGATGTTGGAGATCGGCCTGTTTTCCAGTGTGGTCCTGTTTCTCTGACTGTGACTGGCTGGATGTGCTCTCTTCATCCTCTGACATGGGAGCTGGCTCAGAGCTCGTCTGCCTGGCTGTGTGTTTCCTGGTTGGAGCCGCCTTTTAGAGTTGCTTTTTGTATCTCTGCTTCTGTCTCCTTGAACCCCAGTCTGCCTCGGCAGAGGCCGCTCACACTGAGCCTGGTTCTGCTGGAGGTTTATTCCTGTTAAAAGGGAGTTTTTCCTGTCCACTGTCGCTAAAAGCATGCTTAATGTGAGGGATTGCATTAAAGTCAATGAGTCGGTGCAATCAACTGGTTTTCCTTAAATAAAAAACTTTGAATCCATTTGACTGTATGGTCTGGTTGAACTGTAAAGTGCCTTGAGATGACCTGTGTCGTGAGTTGGCGCTATATTTCAATTAAATTCAGTTTATTTATATAGCGCCAATTCCAAACACAAGTCATCTCAAGGCCTTTTACAGTTCAACCAGATCATCCAGTCAAATGGATTCAAAGTATATAAATAAACTGAATTGAATTTTATTCTAATTAAACAAACATGGTGTCTATGTACACCCCCTGATTCAGCAGGCTGCTTCAGAGTTGGGAAGTTATTAGATATTTGTTTCTGCTAATTTCTCTAAGTCTACAGGCAACAATGCCACAGATCATCAATCAGGTTTAGCTTTAGATGAGGGTTAAACGGCTGGTTGAATTAATAGATTATGAAAATTATTGTCAACTAATTTGCTCAAGGAATCAAACCTGGAGTTAACTGGAGAGTACAGATTCTAGAAAATGTAATTTCTGAATCCATAGCATGTTTACAGATATAAAATTAATGGTGATACCTACCAGTTAAACTCCTCCTGGCCAGTAAGTGGTGCCCTTGTGCTAAGCCAATCTTGTTGTGTACTGTTGTGTCAGCTGGTTACTAATGCTAAAAACCTCTAACTTACTTGAAGTTCAGTAGTTCCAAAAGACGGCAGCAAACACAGCATACCCTCTGAGCCCCTTTGCTTTGTTCACCATCGTTTTGTTTCTTTTTTGTTTTTGTGGCTTGAATCTGAGAAATGTCAGACCAGTCAAGGAGCAAGGATTTGGCCACATCTGAGCTCCGTCTCATGTGACTTCAACCTTCTACTTTTATTGGTGTCCACTTTGGCACCAGAAGTAAATATTTATATATTTTAACCTGTCAAATATATGAAACAATAACTTATATACTTTATTTTTAGCTAAAATAATACTCTATTGTGCACCACTAGATGTTCTGTGGATGTATTTTTCAAGCCAAAACTACCAATATAATAATTTGTTGTTGTTTTTTTTTTAAATAAAAATCTTTGTTTGTAAATCTGCTTTATCCAGAGATCTTCTAGTGGTGTAGTTTTGGCTTTGCTTGTTACAAAAACAAAAATATTTCTATCAAGTAACACATATAAGACATATTTAACACATGAATCTTTAGTTGAATGCATGAGTTAAGATATAAAGACCTTTTTTGAATAACTTTTCTGAGAATAGAATTGGGTTTTCTTTTACTTGTTTTTGTAATTCACAGTTCATTTATAACATGTAAAATAAATGTTCAAATCTGTTTATTATTCGTTTACTAAAAGTATCTCTCTTTAAATTAATCCATTAAGCATGAAATTATCCATTGATTAAATCGGTGGGTTTTGAAAGGCTAAACATGTTGTGACAAAAATCCCGTCGTTGGTGTCCTCTTCTGATTTAGTCTAGAGAGAAATACTTTCCATAAATAATCTAATTTGGGGGTTCTCAAAGTAGGGGTCAGGACCCCTGTAGTATCATGGTTTAGGGTCTGTTTAAGTTTTTTCTTTTAGTTTTCATTGTTTTATTTATATTTTGTGTTTTTTTTTTCATTTGTATTTGAGCTCTCAGGTATTTCTTGTTTACTCTCTGTTGCCCTCTTGTGTCAGTCTCCTTTTAGCTCCCTTCTAGATTCCTCTGTCCACACCTGCTCACAATCTGCTGATTAGCCTGGTCTTTGTTTCTGTCTCCCATATATACACCTCCTGCTCAGTCACTGTTTGATGGTTCATCATCATTTCTTCCCCTGCAAGTGAGTTTTCTGGTTTTCAATATTTTTGTGAATTCTAAGGATTTGTTTTGTGGATGTTTTTGTCACAGTCTTTCTGAATTTGGGTCCTCTACCAACACCACCAAATCGTGACAGTTTTATTCTGTTAAACTTTTCGGATATTAAATCTGCAAGTAACCACCTTCAGCTTCAGTCTGCAGTTGGGTCCTCCTCTCAAACCCCCACCCAACTGGACACGTAGGACCGCGAAACAATGGCATGTGAAGTGACCCTTGAGAAAAATGGAGGGCGAAACTGTTTCATGAAATACCTAAACGAGAATGTCCCATTATTTAAATAAATGTATCAAATAAAAATATATTGAAAAAAATATTTGATATTACATTTTAGATTTAAAGTTGATTTAATGCTTGGATTCATATTCACTCATATATTACAGTAATTCAATTAGAAAATGAAATGAAAACTCACTAAATGATAACTTCATTTATAACTTTGATTTCTTTTTGTAAATAAACTATCCCAGACAAATGAAAGTACTTTGCTCATAAACAATGAACCAACATGGATGTCAACAGTTGCAACAGTTTGACAGAACATTTCCACATGTTTATATACTATATATATATATATATATATATATATATATATATATATATATATATATATATATATATATATATATATATATATATATATATATATATATATATATATATATATATATATATATATATATATATATATATATATATATATATGTAGATTTAAAGAGCTAAGTAATTCTATGTATCTTTAGCAGTTCACCAATCTGTAACACTGGGTGTCATGGGCTAAAAGGTTGAGGAACTGTGATCTAATCCAATGCAGAAATGTATCTGCAGTATCTTCCTTATGGTGTTGTGTTAACATACGCCTTATACACTGGGGCAGCAGACATCTACTTTCTTCATTCCTATGGAAACAGTGACTTTGGGTTTTCTATTTCTGCTCTATATTTGTTGAATAAATAAAGACAATGTGTATTCTTGTATAATACTATTGTTTTGATTTTTAGAAAACAATACAAAAACTAAACTTAGATTATGTCCTGATGTATAAACCCTGAAACTGTAAGAACATGTTTCATTTTTTCCCATGACTGTATCTGTAAATTAGAGAAAAGCTACTGACAGAGTAATTTAGTTTCATTTAGTATGGTATTTGCTTTAAATAATAAAGAGTACAAAAAGGCAGATCCTTCTTCAAATGCTCCAGATGGACCTATAGGCTGAACATTAAACAGAATGAAGTCATAAAGTGCGACATTTACAGTTTCTCTGAGCTATGTTTGAACATTTCTTTCTTTCTACTCCTGAATGCAGCAGATCAGTCATTGGAAAACACAAACCTAATTACTGTGTGTTTCCTTACTGCACTCCTACAGCAAGGTATTGATTTCTCTGCCTGAGCTATCTGCACATTCATTTTAATCACAAAACCCCATTTTAACAACGAACAGCTGACATCAAATCCACCAAAGCTGACTGATCTAATAGATTTTTTCCCCTGCTAAAGTCAAAATTTTGAGGGGATCCTGGACTGATTTTTGCAGGTGTTCAGCTGTAGTTTCAGTTGACCTACCTGGCCACATGATTAATGACAGGGGAGAAGTGGGTGGGTCCATACAGGCGTACGCTCTTCAGGCTCTGGTAGTAGGCCTCCATTACCCCATCAATTCCTTTGCAGTATGGGTTCTGTGGATTACCGTTCTGCACAGAAGCACAAAAACAAAATGTACTTTGAAACAGCCTCAATGAATCTGAGAGCTGTTCGATTAAGAAATGAAATTTTCCCTAATTATAACAACCTCATACGACCCTCCAAACAGAGGACTTTGTAAGGCTACAGAGGTTAGAGGTGATCTCCCTCTGTGTTGGTCTAATACATTTGGTTTTCATTTCCACACAGGACCTACTGACACAGCAAATGGCTTCTGTTTGGCTCTTTTAACCTTTTTCCATGTATACTGTTGTGATGCGTGTGATGATTTATTGTTTTTCCAACATTTAGATCAATTTTCAGCTGCAAAAAGTCCTCAGAAATATAAATACTCAAGTAAAGCTACAATAAAAAAATAAATAATTAAAGTCTGGTAAGAGGTATTTATATTTAGCTACCTGACACCTCTAATATTTTATGATTTTTTTTTTTTTTTTTAATCCATCTATTTTCCATCACGCTTTTCCCAAGCGAGGTCGCGAAGGGTGCTGGTGCCTATATCATACTGTTTATTTTTTTTAAATAAAAGATGGTATCGATGTGTTATTTCGTCCATGCCCAAAGACAAAAACTGAGGATCATCATGGTCATATTATCCATGCTATAAAGGGAAAGTTGCAAAGCAAAAACATAATGAAGAGCAACAAAACTCAGTTAGAAAGAATTGTTAACTTTGCTTTGCTTCCCATGATAACAGCTGCACGTGGAATCCTTGGCTTTTTAAATGGAGCTTGTATAATTCTGCGACTTTCAGCGGTAGCCTGTTTCTACCACTGTTTAACAGCTGCAAGTTGAATCCTTAACGCTAGGAATAATTATTCTGAGTCTCGACTCAAGGTTCACCGCCCTGGGCTATGCTGCTACCCATTGCAGAACTGCTGTAACAGCTGCAGATGTTCTGGAAAAAACATCTGGAGGTGAGAGGAAAACAACGATGGAGACGTATAGAGCTCAGGAGGAGTAGGACACCTGGAGAGACAGGATAGATAACTATGGAAGATTGTCAGACTAAACAGATTCTCTACTATGCCATCATGTCGGACTGATTGTTGGAGTTAGGGTTAAAAATGCCATGTGGATGAATAAAGGACTCAAACATTGGTGGAAATTTATAGTTTTGTATTAACAGCACAAAATGTGAAAGTTTCTCCATAGATTTTTTTTAATATTATACATAATATTACACCAACAACCAAAACACAGGATACTTGAACACAGTTGTAGCGTCACAAAATACCTTCAAGTTTCATGTTGTCACAATCCATAGCTCGATTTTTGGTTAATGTTCCCATTCTACCTTCTTGTTTTCCAATATTTTCCTGTTGTCTAATGGTTTTTAAGTTCTTAAGTGCCATATTAGTCATTATCCTTATTTGTTATTGTCAGAAGTTTATTTACTTTATTTTCTACTGTTGCTGCTTTAAGCCTCAGTTGGTAATCTGTTTCCTGTGCTTATTTTTGCATTAAGTTAGGTTTTTTCACCCTTTTTCCTCCCAGCCCTACACTGTCTCAGCTATTTCCACTTCTCTTTGGATTGCCTCATCTGCCTGATTTTCTTTTTTCTCCAGGATTTAAGCAGTTTTATTTAACATATCCTTAGTGGAAAATTCAATTTACTTACCCCCATTTCTGTGTCCTTCATTTAGTTTTCTTTAAGTTACTTTTAAACTAATTTTCCCCTAGTTCGTCCTGTATTTGGGTCCTCCTATATTCAATTCAATTCAGTTTATTTATATAGTGCCAATACACCAGACATCATCTCAAGACATTTTACCTCAACAGGTTAACCAGATTATAAAGTCAGATTGGTTCAATATATACTTATGAAGTTTTAAATATGCCAAAGGTACACACACTTAATAAGTACTGATACGAGCTGGTTTATTAAACCCCTGCATGTTAACTTGTCTTTTTGCACATTTTAAATATGAGTGCAGATTCAATACCATGAGCCCCCTTATATAACACAAGCATGAGTACTTTTCTACGCTTGTAGCTAGATTTTTGTCCTACTTGCATATGGACCCATTTCTACATGCTGATGTCAAATTTTGTCACTCAAGCCTGAGAAAGAAAACTGCCTATTATTGACTGACATCTCATCTCAGCGGGTATTTTGGCTAACAGCCTGTTTCGGCTCCTTCCAAAGATGCTAAATAGGATTTAGGTCAAAGCTCATAGAGGGCCACTTTATAGTAGCACAATGATGTCCGCAATGTATCTACCTATTTGTTTTGGCTCTTTTTTCTGTTAAAGACCCATGAGTTTTTCCTCTCCACTGTCACTACATGCATGATCGGTGTTAGGGATTGCTGCAGAGTCAATGACATAATGTCTACTGTTGTCACATGCTTATCCAAGATGACAGAATCATGAAAAGTCATTAAGTTGATACAATCAGCTCATTTTCATTAGAAAACTTTGAACCAATCTGACTGAACTGTCTGTGTACGGTGCCTTAAGAGGACATGCAGGGGGAATCGGGACTATAGAAATAAACTGAATTGAATCTAGACCCGGCCAGTTCAGGATGGATGTTTAATATACAAGAACTCACCAGGGGAAACTCGTGGGAGACACGTCCATCTGGGGGGAGCTTGGCACCGAAGCCCAGAGCTGGAAACATCTTGTCGCTGTCATAGTCCTGAATGATCTCTCCGATGGCCCGCAGCGCCATGGCGTAGTCATTCAGTTGGTAGGGGCTCATGTAATGGAGAGAGGTGGGCTGGGATGGATTACCTGAGTCCCAGACAGAGCAACATAATAAAACAGGTCAGCCAGTACAATAAACTTGCCCCTTTTTCCACTGGGTTTGATCTATATTAAATGGTGAAACTTTGGTTCTTAAAAGTGTTTCTTTAACACAAAGAGGTGTCGGATTTAGAATAGATTCAGCTGCTGAATCATTCATTCGGTGCTCAGCCGGCTCACTTATGGAGATAAATGAACATGTCATGGAGTGCAACATATGGAACCAGCTTGGAAAATAAAGAACTCTGAGGAGGTCTGCTTATAAGTTTGCTAAACAACACAATAAATACCTGGCGTGCAGTTGCAGTTCTGGAACCAAATCTACTCAGGGGGCTCAGAGTTTTTTCATGGAGGCACAAAATAAGCATGAAACAAAAACAAAAAAAGACTGAAAAGCTAAAATGTAAAATATATTAAGGGAACCAAAAAGCCACCTGTGGCTCTGCACTGGAGTTTAAACAAAATCTCACAACAAATTTGAAAACTAAGTAAATCAATGTTTCTTAAAATAAGTAAATTTTTTCTTGAATTAAGCAGGTAAGTGAGACACTTCGCCAAAGAAATCTACATTGAAAATAACAAAAAAAAAACTGCATTGTCTTATTTCAGGCACATAATATCTGATTATCTTATTTCGAGAGTAAAACTACTCATTCCATTGGCAGATCATCTTATGTACCTACTCAAATTAAGGGTAAAAACACTTACGGTATTTTAAGAAATGTACACTTATTTTTAGATGGGTTTTGCAATATATCTTGAAAACATTAATTTTACCTTACCTAAAATGAAAAATCTCTTATCATGAAAACAAAAAAGCAACTGAAATTGTTATTTACAAAATTGTTTCTGGTGTTACTTATGGTAGATTAACTTGACCTCATAGACTGAACAACTGATAATGGGTGTGGCTTAAGATGCAATCCAAAAATAGGTCTTACAAAAAATAATGGCTTCTACTCAGTGCTGAACAAGGCAGCAATAGAAGAATGGTACAAATTCAACCTGGAGAGACTCATACAGAGAAAAACTGCGATTAGTAAAGTTTGATTGACAGGAATGAAATAAGTTCTTTGGCACTCAGGCCCCGGCAGAAGACTTTAATGCTGTGATTCGACATGCATTTGGATGAGTAACCTAAGAAAAGGAGTGTACCCTTCCCCGCTGGGCCCAAACAATAGTGTTGAAATAAGCTGGAAGAAGAGTGGGAATGAGAATAGCCTGGGAGTCAGGGAGGAGATGGGGTGGAGGTGGGTGAAAGTTTGCTGGCATGTCGGAGGGAAGCTTGTTGGGATCCTCAGGCTTGCCCACCAGAGGGCGCCGAGGATCCCCTTATGCTCTTTGCTATTTTCCCTTAGGGCTGGAGTTACCGTGGGTATCTGGAGATTACCCTCTGTCTCCAGCAGAGTGCGCCGTAGGTCTTCTGGAGCTAGAACCTTCCAGCACACCTGATTTCCATCTACTCATCAGAAGACCTCCCCTTTATAAGCTCCTGCCAGACCTTGCTTCCACGAGGCAGTTTTGATCTTAGTTGGTTAGCTACCTGAGCCTCTGTTATAGATTGAATCTTGTTTGTCTCTAGTGTGGAGATCAGATTCTAATCTCTCCTTTGTCTGTGCCTCACAGGAAACCTGTCTCTGGTCTGAAGCTCAGGAAGAGCTGCCTCACTGGAACCCTGTCTCTGGTCTGAAGCTCTGGGAGAGCTGCATCACAGGAAACCTGTCTCTAGCCTGAAGCTCTAGGTGAGCTTAACCTGCTAATCTGCCCTGGTGAGCCAACCCGAAGATTCCTACGTGGATGTAACCTGAAGACTTCTATGTGGAGTTTACCTGGAGGTTCCTATGTGGAATCGGCCTGAAGAATCCTATGTGGATTTTTCCTGTCGTTATCTGTAATAAGCTGAGGGCTCAGCTTGAAGAATCCTATGAGGATATTCCCCTGTTGTTCCCTGCAAAGAGCTGGAAGCTCAGCCAGAAGAATCCTTTGTGTTTATCCCCTGCTGTTCTCTGCAGTGAGCTGGAAGCTCAGATCAAGGTCAGCCATGCTAAGCCTGATGCTAGATGCTTAGCTTTTCATGAACTCTGCTAACCAACAATCTCCCGTCCCAGTACTGACTCCAGTGAACCTGCTCCCCTGCCTGAACCAGTTCCAGTATCATTATTCATGTTATTGTGCTCCAATAAACTCGTTAAACTTTTCATCAGAGTCCGTTGTGTTCTGCATATTGGGCTTTTCTGAAACCCATCATGACAAAGCTAGGCCAGGAGCGATATAAAGCGGATCTTGAAAGATGATTGTCTTTAAAGGAGGTGCGGCCCGGACACTGAGTAGCTGAAGCTTGACATGGGAAATCAGCAAGTGCTACAGGTGAGGCTAATAATAGTCTTTCAGAGTGAATTTTCACTTAAGCTTCATATGTCTAAAATGAAACCAAACTTTAGAAACTATTTAACTGTAAAAACTAAACAGACATCTCTTTAAAGTCTTGAAAAATAAACCCTATCTCATATCCTATCTATAAACAAGAAATGTAGTTGGACAAAAGATATAGGGTTTTACTAAAGTGTGAGGTTTGTATTCTTTGGAGTTAAGATAAAGTAAAGCTGTTTTTGGGTTATTGTGTCGATGTACATTCATAATTTAGAAATTTTACCCATTTTGATTTATTTTTAATCAAAACTATCCATTAGAATTGACCATTAGAACTTATGTAAAAGTGATTCATTAAGCTGTGATGAATTAGAGTCATTTTTTTAAGTTGGTTCAAAACAAAATTTAGCAGACACAAAAAGTGATCCTATTGTCATGATGGGTTACTGAGAGGCCCAAGATGCAGAACACCACGGAGACAGAATAAAAGTTTAACAGGTTTATTGTTTCACAAAGCACAAGGAAATAACACTGGTACTGGTTCAGGCCTGGGGGCTGGTTCACTGGAGTCTGTGTGGGAGACAGTTCAGTTAGCGTTGGCTCAGTTGAGTTTGAGTATTAAGGTTTTCTGGTTTGTACCTTGAGGAGTCCTGATAAAGCCTTGAGGGAGGAACTGTTGGGTCCAGAGATTGTTTCGTTCAGCAGAGTCCGATAACTGCTTCAGCGTCTTACTTCTAGCGTGAAGGCAGACCTTGGTTCTGAGTTTCCAGCTCTTAGTCCAGAGCTGCATCGGAATCCAGAGAAGAGTCTTCAGGTTTGGCTCAGAGGGCAGGCTCGGCAGGTTAAGCTCTTCCAGAGCTCCACAGGAGAAAAACAGGTTTCCAACTGGATTTAACACTGCGGCGTCAAGGCAAGGTCTGAAGACAGCTTATATACTGTGGATCCTCTGATGATGAGATGCGCCTCAGGTGTGTCGAAGGCTCAGCTCAGGAGGATCCATGGCGGACTCTGCTGGAGAGAGATGGAACTTCTCCAGCTCCCAACAGTACCCCCCCCTCAACGACCGCCTCTTGGAGGTCCGGAAGATGTCGATGGGAGGGAGCGCTCATACTCCTCGATCAGCGATGGGTCGAGGATGTAGGAACCAGGAACCCACTGGCGATCCTCCGGACCGTAGCCCTCCCAATCGACGAGGTACTGCCAACCGCGACCTCGCCGACGGGAGTCCATGATCCGGCGGACGGTGAAAGCGGGATGTCCATCAACTTCCAGGGCGGGTGGAGGGGAGTCGGAAGGAGGGCACAAAGGACTTGAGATGACAGGTTTGACCTGAGAGACGTGGAATGTGGGGTGGATGCGAAGAGTCGGGGGAAGTTGCAGGCGTATGGCTGATGGGTTGATAACCTGGATAATCTTGTATGGACAGATGAATTTGGGTGAAAGCTTACGAGACATCCCCTTGAGGGGGATGTCCCGGGTGGACAGCCATACCTCCTGTCCAACTGAGTACTCTGGGGCAGGACGTCTCCTTGAGTCGGCGAAGCGTTTGGTCGTTTCCGTGGAGCGATTGAGAGTGGCGATGGTGTCTCTCCAGATGCGTTGGCATCGACGGATGTGCTGATTTACTGATTGGACCGAAATCTCTCTCTCGTCTGCGGGAAAAAGTGGAGGATGATAGCCAAGACTGACCTGAAATGGTGACTGACCGGTGGAAGCTGACTTGAGAGAGTTGTGGGCGTATTCGATCCAGGTGATGTACTGGCTCCAGTCGGTGGGATTATTGGAGGTTAAACATCGAAGGGTGGACTCGAGCTGCTGATTCAACCTCTCGGTTTGACCGTTGGACTGAGGGTGATAACCGCAGGTTAGTGAAGACTTACAGTTTAGGGCAGAGCAGAACGCCTTTCAGACTTGGGAAATGAACTGGGGCCCACGATCTGAAAGTATTTCCTGTGGGATTCCATGCAGACGAAAAACGTGTTTAATCAGAAGCTGAGCAGTTTGAAAAGCCATAGGAAGTTTCCTGAGGGGGATCAGATGACAGGACTTTGAAAATCGATCAACGATGGTAAAAATTGTGGACATACCTCGGGAGATGGGGAGACCAGTGACGAAGTCGATTGCGATGTGAGACCATGGACGTGTGGGGACTGGGAGAGGATGCAGCAGACCTGAGGGTGGTTGGTGTGAAGCCTTATTTCTGGCGCAGGTAGAGCAAGCCAAAACGTATTCTTTGACATCCTTGTGAAGAGTAGGCCACCAGAAACGTCTAGAGATTAAGGCAATGGTTCTGCTCACCCCCGGATGAGCGGAAAACTTGGCAGAATGCATCCACTGTATCAGGCGAGATCTAACAGAAGAAGGGACATAAGTTCGGTTTGGAGGACCGTTACCTGGGTCAGGTTCAGAAGCCAGGGCAGAGTTAATAAGATCGGTGATCTCCCAGGTGACCACTCCAACAGTGCAGAATGCGGGAAGGACAGGTTAAGGTGTCTCGGATTGATCAACGGAGTAAAGACGAGAGAGAGAATCGGGTTTGACGTTCTTGGATTCAGGTCTGTAAGAAATTATGAGGTTGAAACGAGAGAAAAATAGGGACCACCTTGACTGACGGGG